GTACAACGAAGCACAAAGTTGAACTCAGATATGAAACTTCGGATTCCATAACCTCTTCAAAGGTCTCGTTTGCATATAACATTTGGACGATCAAATGTATACTCAAAGGTAACAGCTTCCGGGTGTAGTTCAACTGGTAAACCAAAGCACTATCAGAACAACACTTGAACTTCAGGCCAAGGCATAAACGAGTTTTCTCAAATTCCGTCTTCAAGTAAGAGGCAGTTTTTTGAAGCTCTTCTAAAGTCATAGTAAGATTCATGTCATTAACATAAATTGTAACTCTAGCAATTCGGAATAAGACTTCATAGTTTAACACGAAAAGGCGTTCATTCATATCCCTGACTTATCAAATAATCACTTAGACGGGTATACCATATTTGCCGGATTACTTCAATCCATAAGTGAACGCCTCAAACAAGTTAAGAGGGTATTTTGTGGTTTGGCACTATTTAAACCAATCCATGTAATTATTCGGAAACTCACATGTACATCTCCGTATCAATATCTCCATGGAGAAAAAACTAACCACATTTCATAATGCTGCTATCAATCACAAGACATTTGAGAGAAACCTTGCGTCGTAAAACATTCATCATATCGCACTATTTCATTCATCTCATTATGCTTCCTTTCCTACTTGTAACATAACAGGGTTACCTTGGATAGTGTAGAAACGATAATCCAAAACACACTTTGGTAAGGAATTTGACCTGGATTGTAATTTCAGCTGTCCAATCAGTTCTACGTTGTCACTTAATCAACGGAACACGGTTCGATATCGTTGCTTTTTATTTATGTCAGTAGCTACCATATAAGTGAAAATATCATCGATGGTAATCTTATCTTAATTCCATTAACTTATCCAAACTAGTATACTGGACCAAGAACTTCAAGTCCCTGGAGTAATCCGGATTAATCTTAAGAGATAGAAATGATTTGAGACAGGGATCAAGTATAGATTCATTGTTGTGTCGTGACCTTCCTCTTCTAGGGAAGTGAATCCTATGAACTTATTCATATGTCGTGCTTCAGGCCAAGATAAATTGATTGGCTATCTGCCAGTGTATCAGATCATCCAAAAAGGGCGTCCAAACCGTCCAAACCGTCCAACAAGGATGGCACACCCTTCGGGGATCTTGACTCGACGTCTGTTAAGTACGTCTATCTTTGCAGACATGTTTGCAGCTAGTATATAATCTCCTCACTTTAGCTAGATCAAAAGAATGCATCTGGAGCAATATTCTGAAAGCTAGAATTCATCGTACTTGCTTATCACATTTGTGCTGTATAGGGATCGAGATGAGACATAGTGGGTAACGTTCACATAAATTTGCGTCATTCTACAAGAATGTTGACGTTCTTATATCCCTCTAACAGCGGGAAAACTGTTTCATTGAAGTGACAATCTGCAAATGAATGGTAAAGAGATCACAGGCAAGGACTCTAAGCGAGCTGGTGTGAAGGAGAGTCATAATCAACAAAAATTCACATCCTTCTTTTGAGGAAGCATATTGGTACGTTAAGGCGATGCAACTTGGCACATGGAATGCATACCCAAATGCGTAAGTATGAAGCATCAAGTTCGTACCTAGTAACCAACTATAATGTTGAATAGGTTGGGTGGCAATAGGCCTCAAGGTGGACCAATATAGTTGTGTACAAGATTGCATAGCCCTAGGCAGAACCCGAAAACTTGGTTCGTTCACCAAGGTTCAGGCGATCATTTAAATTGCACCTTATGATCACTATGCTAGGCTATTTGGGGTGAACATGGGAATTCAATGTTCAATTATAAACCTAAAAGACATGTAATACTTTATCGAAAACCATCCATATAAATTCTCTGGCATTATCCAGTCTCCCAGACTATAAAGGATAAGTAGGATGGTGAACCCTTAATCGGCCAAGGGGTTTAGCAGCAATGTATGTGGACAAATATGTGACCAATTTGTCGATTCATCAACAAAAACTATAAGTATTTATATAGTCCGCATTTTGGTTGGATTAGTCCACATATATTCCCTTGAATCCATTGTGAAAAGAGGGTTGCTTTGTATCTTTGCGATGGATGATTTAGAAAATCAATTTTCCTAATAAGCAAGCTTGGCTAAGTGTGTTTGTAGGCACAAAATCCTTACTTCAGGTAAGGATATGCATCGTAGCATCATTATTCGACCTAAGTGTCTAAAAGGTCATGCCAAAGCAAGTAAACTACTCAATCACCCACCTCCAAGTTGACCACACGTGGCACATTCCCAGTTAAGAGGCAGCCCATTAGCCCTAAATTAAAGCTTCAGGCTCATTTTTGGAGATGGTGCAAAGATATTTTACTCTATTTTCTTCAGTGGTTTTATTTATGATCATTGTCCTCTCGAATATCCTTAAGACTCAACGACGTTATTCCAGAACTGGGAGAATATAAGGTCTCTAACAAGGTAATTCAATACCATTTATACAATGAGGAGCGTGCTAATGCTCTTAATCGAGTTGGATAGACCTGAAGTCGTTGCTAGAGATGTGATTTAGGTGTAAAGTTAGTCTACGTAGTATCGCACTCATCCAGACAACTAACTTTTCCACATTCCTACCTAATCACGTGTTTAATTGAATTCAGTCACATGTTTTAAGAAACATGATTCAATTAACTTGTATTCGAGGACAATATCAATAAGGTTATCCATATCTAAAACAAACACCAAATGTGAATCCAAGAACATGGAAAAATGTTAACAAAGTAAACCAAAGTCACTAAGGGGATTTCGCCAACAAGGTCATTCATATCAAAATTCTTCTCTTCCAACGATGTTCGGTGGAGTGAAATTAGTCTCACATATTGACTACTAGAATGGTGCTTCTCAACAACATTGGTAGGGGCACGAACAAGTGCATAACAAATGATCTATTCCATCAAGACGGAAGTAGATTCTGCAAGGATAAAGTTTCATAATACTATCCCTTATTCTTAAAGTTTTAGATCTTAGGTGCCAAGGATCATGCTTCGGGCATGATACTACACCTTGGCAAGCCCTGATTCTGCCATATGTTGTTAAAACAAACTCAAAATTGGACTGTGATAGAGACAGACCCAGAATTGGGTTTGGTAGGCTCCAGCCGAAGTTGGAGGGGTCAGTTCAGTAGGCCTTTACGGAATCAAAGCTGACATTTCGATACATATCTGCCAAAGTAGGGCATCATCATTCGGTACGCTTTGACCAAATTGGTTTGAGCCATTCGGTAAACTCTAGCCGAACTGAGTCTATACCATTCGGTAGACTCCAGCCGGACTGAGTCTATACCATTCAGTAAACTCTAGCTAAAGTTAGGTCTATACCTTTCTTTCATGTTTGTGGTAGTAATTAGATCCGAAAATTTTCTAAACTTCCGTTTTTTACACTGTTATTTCATGAGCGAGTTAGAAACATGGAATGACTAGAAAAATATTTTCCAGTCAACATTCCATCGGATTTATAAACTTTAAAATCGTACTCATTCATGGACGTAATCATGGCCTGCTTCAAGCAATGTCTCGCATGATTAGACTGTCCGTAAGAGCGAGCCAAAGAGCCATGGAATCCTCATTCAGAAAGTACTTTTTTTGTGGGTAATGCTTCGGGCATAGGTCTTCGAATAAAGATCATAGTGGAGGCTTATTCAACTCTTCTATACCATTGTTGGCTACAATGGTTTCTCAGCCTCTTGATAGTCAAGTGAAGATTCACATCTTATACCCGCATAAAGTGGTTTCTATTAGAAATGTCTAGATCAGGAAAATCGAACTTGTGACAATTTGACAATCCACTGAATTGGAGGGAACAAGATTATGATTGGTGATATAGGAATGAATCATCCATAAGCATCAAAGTTAGAATATTCGAGTTCTAAGACATGGTTTTCATGAAAAACGTCGGGTTTTCATGGGTGTATTTGTTTTATGAAAACTTTAGGTTTCAAATAGCACACCTCAACCGAAGTCGTGGCATGCTGGTTGACACCCGAAGGTGATGTAACCAAAAAGGAAAAGTGAAGCATAAAAATAAAGATAAATTTAACCAAAACTAACATTTATTTAATCTAAAGTAGAGAGTGCATAGTAGCGGGAAAAACCCACAAAAACACAACTGTTCAGAGCATAGATGACAGTATGACATAAGTAGTGCAGTTGAAACTGGTTAAAGTACTTATTACACAACCAAGAAAAAGCTCCTACATTTATTTAGAGATAAGTCAAAACCGCTGGAGATTTCTCGTATGTCACAGAGAATTCAGCTATCTAAGTTCTGGAGGGGCTAAAACCAAAAGGGTGAATGGGAAAAAACCAAGGTTTATAAAACACATTTATTTCTGAATATACTAACCCCTCACCGTAAAACATGTATAGTTTCCAGAAAATCATACTACATATAAGTATGAAATCAAATGTAAATCAATAATAATTCCATAAAAACGCCAATCATAATACCTTAATCGTAGCTTATGTAAAATTAGGTGGTCATCAATATATGGTAACACACGAGTTTATGCAAAGGGAATCTAATATGAACATGACTGGGTGTAATCATAATATACGCTCTAGTATTACAATCATGTGAAGATTGGCGCTAGGCACATCACATACGAGTCTGAGTTGCCTAATGTATCCTATACGACAGGACCGGCACTTACAATGGATCCAAGGTGAGTTTGTGGTGCGATGTGAACATACACATGAAGCCTAGCCCTGGCACGGGCGAGTACTACACTGGTGCAAGCATGCATGATGAGCAAGTATAATATATATAAAAATACCAAGACAATATGTAAATCTCAACAATATAATGGCATTTTTAAAATTAAATAAAATATGGCATGATAGGCGTAAAATTAATCAAAACACTTGTGGAAACTATAAAACTTTATATATTATATATAAAAACAAATGTCCACTCACTGATATGTCAATGGATCGTAGCCTCCTACCCTTGTTTGTCCTTGTACCTCCTCAAGGTAAGTCTCATCTATATGTGAAATAACTTTACTAATTAATTAATTAGGACATACACTAAAAGGCTAGGAAAATCCCCCATAGTTCGCTCAAACAGAGGGTTTAAGTATACAAAAACATTATACTCAATGTCACGAACCCGTACATGTCAAGAACATGATGCCCGGAGGCCTGACGCACCCTCACGCGCTGCCAAGTAACAGCCCCATGCACAGGCCACATGCCTAACAAACTGATAGAAACCCTAGGGAATATTCTATTAGATTTGACAGAAAATTTCGTTAAGTCTAACGGCGTTACCAAACAGCGTCAAAATATTCTGTTAACTTTAACAGCATATTCTCCTTCTTTTCCAGTTGTCTTCCTTTATCCGCTGCCGCCATCTGGTTCGTCGTTTTTTGGGGAAAAAAAAAATTAAAACTTCATAACTTCTTCATTTCTCAACCATTTTTGGCATACTTTATATGGAAATGAAGCTCATGAAGAAAAGAACAAGTTTGTACCTTTCAAAAGTCCAAAAAGTGGACGGAAATGGACTGAAAAAGCCTCAAAACTCTCAGCCCTATTTTCGTCGTCTCAAAGCCGCATGTTCTCACATTGGCTCCACTTGAAACCTAGGCTAGTGGCCACGGGGAGTTGCCTAGATGTCTCCAAACCTTCCAAAACCGTGCAACTCGAATGAAAAAGTCATGGAGGAACATACACCCGAGTTAGAGCTCTGAGTTGCTATGAGTTGGACACTCAAAACTCGATTACTTTAAGATCGGTTCTTACGGATGGACTTGTGAGTATGAAAGGAGCACGATGGTGGTGATTTTAGGTTCAATCTGTGAAGTTTGATGATGAGTCTTGGTTGTTGCAGATAGGAGAGAGCTAAAATGCGAGGGTGAAGAAGAAGAGGAGAGAGAGAGAGAGAGAGAGTCTTTTGATTAGTCAAAAACAAAAAGAAAGCGGAGCTATTTGATTAAATGAGAAAATATGGGAAATTGATTGATTGATTGGTGAGGGAGAATAGGGCATGGGATAGATTTAAAGAGAGAAGGGGATAAGATTTGTACAAATTTGAAATTACACAAAATCTAACGTACTGGTGCGAGATTTATACGCACACAAATTAAACCCTCTTTTTGTCAATTGTAGTAAGTACGTAAGTAGGGATCGTTCTGGACCGGGGATTAGGAGGGATTGTTAACCACTTGGATTTGACTTCAAAAACGTAAAAACAAGTTTAAAACACTATAATAAACTCGAAGAATGCAAAACTAAAAGTAAGAAAGATTAAGACTAAAACTTAAACAAAATAAGGGGGGATTGGATTTGTACGAATTTAAACTAAAATGGAAACTTGGAAATAAAAACAAATTGTAAATACGGATGTGACGGAAATGAATGGATGGGAAGCTAGCTAAGGGGTTCATCTCCACATATGTTATACTTGCATACAAAACGATGTCTAATTGCTTTTCAATAAACCATGAATTCTCAATGCCCCGGGTTAATTAGGTCCGCTTAAATTAACCGTCAAGTTTTCCTTAAGTTAATGAATTGGATGATTGCATACGACAATCCAAAGCATTCCTCACAAGTTCCCTACATGAATTGCATAATAGAGATACAAGCAAGAATCATTAAGCATCATGAAAACTATAAGTGTTGACGAGGCATTCGTTACTATGATTGCATGAAACTTATGCCAAGAATATGTTTAACACAATTGTTTATAAGCAACCTCCACTACTTGTGAATATAAGTTCATAACTATTACGTGAAACTCACTTATATTCTAGCGTCAAATTCATGCATGAAAATTAAGCGTTCATTCTTAATAAACATACATAAATAGGTTATCAATCAAACAGTTAAACAAATTGAATTCACAACTTATGAAACGTAATTAAAAGTAATCAAATCATATTACAAACATAAACATAGTTTCGAATCACCCCCTAGCTAAAGGGGGTTTAGTTCCTCATAACTTTGAAATCAAAGAAACACCTAAACATTCCAACAACTCAAAACTTGAATTGTATGAACGTTTAAGCACTCTTTTCTTCCATTTCTCATACGTACAAAACAAAGAGAATTAAAATGAAACTTTGAAATCAAAGAAACACCTAAACATTCCAACAACTCAAAACTTGAATTGTATGAACGTTTAGGCACTCTTCTCTTCCTCGTTGTTGTAGCACAAGGTTTAAGGATAGGTTGGTTGGGGGGATGAAAGTGTTGGGGAATTATGGAAATGGATGAGGATTGGTGGAAATGGAAGATGGTTTTGGATTCTAAGGGGAAGTGTTTATTTGTGGTGTGAGAATGGAGAGATGGAATTGAATGAAATGGAAGTGTGGGATGAATTGAATGATGCAAATGAATGAAGTGTGTGTGGTTTATATAGGGAGAGAATGGATGGGAGAGAATGGATGGGAGAGCATGTGAATGATAGCTAGGAGAATGATTAAAGGGGTGTGAATGGTTGGAAATGCATGTGGGTGAATTGGTGGTGCAATGATGAAAGAATAAGTGCATGTGTGTGTTTTGTGTTGGAATGAATGTGGATGCATGATGAAGAGTTAATAAATAATGCATGTAGGGTTAGCTAGGTTGGCTTTGTTTGGGTGCATGTGAGTTAAAGAGGGAGAATGTGGTGAAATGATGAAGTAGGAAGGTGGAAATGCATGTGAATGCATGTGAGATGTTGGAAAGGAAATGGGAATATAAGTAGGCCATGGCATGGGAGTTGTTTTATTGGTGTAAATGTGCCATGGTTGCAATGATGAAGAATAAAGGGTGCATGTGGGGTGGAAGTGATGAATGCAAAGTGAATGAATAATGAAATGAGTTAAAGAGGGAGAATGTGGTGAAATGATGAAGTAGGAAGGTGGAAATGCATGTGACTTGTTTTTGGAATAAAGAATGAATGGTGGAATGATGAAGTGAATGCATGTGGAATTAAAGAGGGAGAATGTGGTGAAATGATGAAGTAGGAAGGTGGAAATGCATGTGAGATGTTGGAAAGAGGTGGGTGTGCATGTGAGTTGAAATGCATATGTTTAAATGGTTGAAATGTGTAGATAATTATGAGTATGATAAGTGAACTTTGTATGGTTATGATAAGTGAATGGTGAATGATATGTTAAGTGATAAATGAATGATATGTGGTGAGTGATAAGTGAATGGAAGTGATAAGTGATAAGTGATAAGTGTATGTTATGATAAGTGAATGGTTTAAGTGTTTAAAAATAGGGAACAAAACCCTTCCTTGCATGGCAAGGAACGGAGACACAAGGAAACACACGACAATGTCCTAAGGTTGCAAGGAATGTTGTTTTTGTGTTCTAAAATGCGTATGAGTTTTCAATGATGCTTAAACATGAGGTCTTTTAGGATTTAACTTTCCTACTTCAAGTCTTTAATTTCGTCCATCCTCTTGGCTCCAAGCATATGATATCCATTCCAATCTCTAATTTGCTCCAAAAGGCTCCAAAAGGCATCCTTTTGCATACCTTGCCCTTAGAACCTGAAAACACACAAAAGAAGCATAAAGGACTAAAATAACTAGAGAAACATAACGTAAATGCACGAGAACAAGCCATTTAAGTCGCATGAATATGCTCCTATCACGTACCTTATCAAAAACAGTAGTTTCCAATACTGAATAATTAGCATGTACGTGTACAAATCTACCCGTTGTTAACACACTTTAACTAAACATAACTTTTTCGTTACAAATCTGATTCAGGTCTAACTCATGCTCACGCATTCATAATAACGATTACTAATTAATTACGATATCAAGACAAATAATTTAAAAGTCGAATAACTACGTCCACGTCAGGTCCACTTTTGCCAAAAATGACATAAACGTCATTTTACACACTCAAGGAGAAAATTACATGGAAAATTAGGGATGGGTCGTCACATCAAAGGCACTAAATTTGAAACTACAAGTTCAATTTAGTTTCTGAACGGTTAGTTCATAAAAGAGAGGTTTATGCTAATTTAAGTGTAGTGGATTTGAGTTGCTTCAGGAACTCAAGTGTGAGCGCTTCGGGACTACGAAAGGACTGTTGGTCAATAATTTTGGATTTCTTGTTAGATTAATGGACTGTTGGTCACTTTTAATTAATTCAACAGATCGGGACCATACGGGGTCGATCGTAAAAGTAAAATAATGACATGTTGGTCTTATTAGCTTCAGTTGGCAGTGGGCCAAGTGACAAGTGAATTATAGCTTTATTAGCGTTAACAAAACACGTCCCAAAAAATATTTCGGTATAGTTAAGAAGAAAGGGATGCCAAAATATGGCAACGGTCGGAGAATAAATAACCACAGGGCATTACGTTTGGGGTGGCTGGTGAGGTACGGCCCTGCAGCAAGCTGCAAGCCTTAGGTTATATGACAAATGGCAGCAGGTCAGCATGCCAGGGAAATGAGGCAGAGCCCAGTACCGCTGGGCTTACTGGCAGAGGTGCGAAGGAAGCCCATTGACTTCTGAGGGCAGACCAAGTGGCGAGAAGCCCATCAAGGGTTGCTAGCTTCAGGAACGGACTGACGGCTGAAGCCCATGCACCAGGGATCCAAGCGGTAGGCCTAGTTCTAATTCGAGCAATAAACCGAGAGGGCAGCCCAGTTGCTGACCCAAGCTTCAGCCTTATCTTGAGCTTGGCGCGAGCGCATGGCTCCAACGCAGCTTAATTGACCGGCTCGGCTTGTCAGCGCAACTCAGCCGAGTTTTCCCTTTTTCAGATTTTTTTTTTTTTTTTTCAATGTCTAGGGTTTGAAATCCCCTACTTGCTTCGATTTTTTTTTCGATTCTTTGACTCACAAATTCTACATAGCATAATTGCATGTTGCATGAACAAATATATATTTTGAGAAATATATGAAACAAATACAATATATATCGGAAGGTAAATATAAATGTAGGGGGTTCATGCATCATAGCGAATGTTTTCATGCTTCATGGTCGTTTTAAATATCTTCATTTATTTTAAGCGTACCTGATTGGCAAAAAACAACAAAAACTTTTGAATTTGTAGAAGATCCTTCTCGAATCATTGGAATTGCATCTCCAATGCGTTGTATCACGTTCAAAACAGAAAAATTAAATTGAATCAACAGCATTCAGATCAATTTAATAAAATAATAATTTAATCATAAAAAGAATGATTAATACGTAATACTCCCCTGATTGAAGATCAAAACTCTCAGCGCAACTTCAAGAGAGTGCTGATAACGTGTTGTAAGCATAATTTACTAAACAATTATGGAGGCCAGAGAGAGGGTGTAGCACATAGAGAAAGAAAAGAGAGATGTGTAATTGTGAGGTGTGTTCTATTCCACCATATTATGCCTTTATTTATAGTAGTAGGGAAGGTTAATTCCTTACCCTTTTAGGATTACAACTCTAATAGGATATTAACTACTAAAGGGAACATTCAAAGATATCCCTAGATAAACTGGGATTTACACAATCACATTCCTAATTTAATAGGATTGCAACAGCCACAACATTATATCTTTGCATGACGAACTATTATTTGCAAAACCCTTAAAATTCGCGGTAAACTAGGTTTTGGCACCACCGTTGTGCGATGAAAATTTTAAAATGGAAGAAAATTGAAAAACTTGATAAATGCCCTTGTTGCCTAAAGCTTGAGCAACAGGGAGTGACACACCCCGACTGAAATCAGGGCATGCTGGCCGTCATGTGAGGGTGACGTAACCATGTGCACAGTGAGAAAGCTAAGAATAATAATAAAAGTACGAACAAATAAAAATCAAACTACACACAAAGTAGTTAACATACATATGCAAGCGTAAATGTGAAAAACAATATTCAGAGCACAGAAAACCTACTGCAGTCCAAAGGAACAAATACTAACTAAACACACCCAAAGAGGGTCCTACACTGGTGATAATCTGTCAGATATGTCGTGAATTCCTCGT